GACATAAGCATGTAGCAGCCAGAAGAAAAAAGTCAAACCAGGTACAGGGACTCCTGCAGCTTTGCAGGGAGTCCTGGTCATATACAGAAAATGTATGATTTAAAGTGTGTCATTGTTTGGTGGTTGATGTGCAAAGCAAATGTATGTAAAGCCCCTGTTTGTGATTCTGAAAACATTTCTTGACTTTGCCTGTTTCTGTAAATCAAACTGCTAAAAAAAAAAAAAGATGCTTACCTGAGGACATTCATACACTATAATGATATCTGAAATTTAGACTGAGAAATAAATGATCTGACATGAATTTTTAGCAGGCTTTCGTTTACCATTTCTTACATGACTTGTGCTTTTCCTTCATCCAGCCTACATTTTGTGTATGTCTAAGTAATTCCATCCTTACATTGTAGGATGCTTTATCGCCCCGAAACATGGGGACTGATGTCTTCTGAAGTTGGTGACTCCTAGAAGTAGTTTTTTTTTTTTTTACAAAATGTGCTTGAGCGAGCAAACAGCAATGCATGTGGAAAGCCCTTTCCCTCTTTTTTTTATACTGGAAATAAATGGACTGAAAGCAGCACATAGACTGGATTTGATTCAGATTTTTTTTTTTTTCTATATTCCACTTTGATGTCAGTTAAATGTGACCGATATATTATAACCACAGTAAAAAATATGCACATATGAGCTTAAAGATATCGTATTTTTCACAGCATTTAAACTGAATTGCCTAATAGCACAAACATGATTATTAAATGTAGCAGATGAGCTTTTTATAGAACATCGAATTCCTGTGTAAACAGTAAACAGTACAATTTTGCCGCTTTTTGCAGACTTGGACTTACATTTTCTTTTCTTTCGACGATAAACAACTACAGAAGCTATGATGCCTGCAAAATTATGAAGGCAAAAGAGATTCCGATGCCCAATGCAATAGAGCTGGAAGATTGTTCAGACCCTGTAAAGAAGTTACAGTTTGTTATTATTATTATTATTATTATTGTGCTAAATCAAGTCTGTGCATTATTGATTGTTTGTCTTTCAGTCTTACCAGAATTTCTTGGGCAGAAATCTTGAATCTCTCTCATGTCTTTGGTCCGGCTGACCTGGTTGCTGTGGTTGCAGATGATTGTTGCGTTCAACCGGTAAATACGAAGAGAAGAACCAGAGTTTGTGACCTTTGATTTCTCTCCTCCATCCTGAGAGCAGGTTTGTTGAACACATCTAAAAGTGCTGCTGATTTCAGAGTCCGCTGTTCTGCAGGTTGCATTGACGATACAAGAGTCTGGGCTCCCAGAGGCACCTCCACCTTCAGTCACATTCAGCTCAACTTCAGACACTGGATCTGTGGAGAATGTCAGTGTGAAATGTTTCAGAACACGGCAGCAGTTATTCTCCATAAGAGTCTGAAATGTTAAGAAACCTACCTTGAACTGTAACGTTGTATTCAGCTACTGGTCGGTCTTTATCCCCTACCACTCGTGCATCATAAACTCCACTGTCTGCTGCTTGTAGGTTCTTCAGTTGCACAGAGTGATTTTGTTCAAAAACTTCAGCCCTTCCCTTGTAATTAGTAAAGATTGTTGGTTTTCCCCCAGGACTAAATCTTACTAAGTTGCTCGTTTTATTGAATCTCCAGATAAGATCATCATCTTCCTGAAGAACAACTGTTTCCGTGACGTTCAGAAGAACATCTTTTCCTCTCTGCACCAACACTTGAGTCACAGAACTGGACCCTGTAAAAACAGTAGACACATAATATTACTAGGGCTGGACCCGAATATTCAAATATCCGGACATCGTGGTGGCATCCGTATAGCAATTTTGATAATTTTGATATTCAAATATTCGCCCACACTTAGAGACAGACAACCAAGCACACTCACATTCACACCTACAGACAATTTAGAATCACCAATTAACCTCAGCATGTTTTTGGACTGTGGGAAGCCGGAGAGAACCCACGCTGCACGGGGAGAACATGCAAACTCCAAGCAGAAAGATCCCAGGACGCTAACCGGGGATGTTCTAGCTGCGAGGCAAAGGTGCTAACCACCGCTCCACCTTGCAGCCCTGTTAGGAAGTTATCTTAAAATCTGACAGATAAAAAAAAGGAAATACAAAGAAATTTTAAAAAAAGGCCTCATTTTGACACAGCGCTAAATGTAGAGCGAATTCTAAAGGGAATACTGGATGTCGGACATATTAAAAACTGTTAGATAACAAGTTCCCTATGGCAACATTATGAAGTCTATGTGTTTTCAACATGGGGAAAAAAATAAATAAAAAATCAACTAAATGATATAAAGCAATTAAAATTAATCATATTAGCAATTTTTTTATTTTACCTCCTTCTTTAAACATTCTTAAGAAACTGATCCAATTATTTTCCCCAGTTAAACAACCTGAATAGAAACAGTAACTCACTGATTATAAACGTAAAACCCAGTGTTGGTCTGTTTATCGTCTCACTGCAGTTTTATCTGTTTCTCGTACAAGCCGCTCTGCTTCCTCATGTACATCCATTTTGTTTCACTTACTGGGTCTTTTAGCAACACATTTAAGTGTGAAAATACCAGATTTTAAAAATAAAATAATGCAGTCCAAGAGTTGAAATATTAGTAGAAAAAGTAGGTGCTCACCGTGCATTTGAAATAAAGATACCAGAGCAATAGTCCATGAAAATGAAAAGTGCTCCATCCTGACTCGCTATGAAGTGAACGAGGAAATAAGACACATAAGAGATACGGTGTTTGATGGAGGAAGTGACACTTCTCTTCCGCTTCTAAAAAATAAGGAACTCTTCCGTTGAAGCCCTGCATTGTAAATGTCCGTACGCTAAAAGGATGTATGATCACAAAAATGTGCTAAAAGTAATTCGAGGGGCACAACTGTGTGGAGAAGCTGTGGTGATTTTCTCAGTGTTTTCTTATTTTCAAATCGTCTACTAACATATACATACTCATAAAGTTTAGACTGAATGCTAGTGTATGAATTTTAATTTTTTATTCTCTACTACTGAAGTATCTTTTAACAGTTACACCACATTTGAGCACCACGCCTTTGTTTTTAGCAGCACTCCGATCCTCTGTGTAACAGTGTACAGACAACCCCATCACTCTTGTCTTTTTATCAGGGAATTTTCAGAACTGTTGTCAGTCATTCACATGAAGTACAACAGAATTATGATAACTGGTGATTTTAATCTATACATCGATAACATCTCGGACCCAATGTCCAGAGAATTTTATAATCTTTTAAGCTGTATGAATTTTAAGCAGCATGTCACATAGCCGACTCACAACGGGGGACACACCCTGGACCTGGTCATAACTCATGGCCTGTCCATTGGTGTGTCCTGTGTTGTGGACCTGGTTGTGTCTGACCACGACTGTGTGTTTTTTAACATCACCAGTTTTAACCTGCCACCTACAGCCAGCCTTCTCCTGCAACCGGTTCCAGTCTGGATTCCCCGAGCCTACCTACCCCCTCTGTTTTTGTCCCCTTCTGTGAGTATCCCTGTTTGTTTGAGTTGCTTTGTTTTGTACCTTAGAATTCATTAGGTTTTTTTCTTCTCTGTTGTTTATTTAGGGTTTTCTAGGTTGTTTTTTTTTTTTGTAGTTTTCCCCCCTTGTATATTTGTTCTGGTTTCCCCCCCTCTGTTTAGTTGCCTCCCTCTGTACAGGTTTCTGTTAATAAACCCCTTTGTTACATCCACCTGTCTGTGTCTGCGCCTGGGTTCTCAGACTCCCTCTCTGTGACAGTATTTCCATAAATCAATCACAATCACCTAAGAACAGGATGATGTTCACTTTAAATAGAGATGTTGGAATGAAACATTCCCAAAGGAAACGATCAACTATCAACCCAAATACTGAGGAAAAACATGACCAACCAGATGTTGCATTTCACTGCGCGTACAACTGTGTTTGTGACTATAAAAAGACCTTGAACCTTGTTGTTCTTTGCCATAGTGAAGTGGATTTTGAAAATGGTAAAACTTAGCTATCGGGGAGGCGAAAGGATGAGTTTAGACCTGCAATCAACAATATTAGGACTTAGAAGTTCAAGACTCATGCATAATTGTTCTTTAACTGTATAACTTTTATATTTTGCTGTGGTTTTAGTTACTGTTTTCTGTCTCTTTAAGTCACTATTTGATTTTGTTTATGCAACAAAACTACTTGTTTAAGCTTCGGCACCAAAACTTCTTGGTTAGGTTTGGAAGAATAAACAAGTTTGGGTTAAAATACACTTGTCAAGTCCACCATAGTTATAGCCACTGAAAAGATGGAAGCATCTCACAATTTTATAGCCCCTTTTGTTAGAAAATATGTTTTGCGCTGAAAAGGTTTATCTCCATCTCCAAGTTATTGTTTTTATCTTGCCACCATGCATTTCATAAAGTGGTAAAAAAAAATAGGTATTTAGAGTGTGCTTTGCTGACATCTACACACAATGTTAAAATGCGAATGCATTCAGACTTGAAGTGATCTACACTTGCCTTGTTTAGGTGTATATATGCTTCTTTATCCATGCTACTGCCACATATTCATAGATGTGTTCAGAACCTCTAAATCCAGACCAAACCAGCAATAAATGTGATGAATCAAATAAAACTTTATTTATATAGCACTTCTCATACAAAAAAGCAACACAAAGTGCTTTACAGCATTTAAAGACTTTGCAAACAAGAAAACCCGTCCCTCGCACCCTCCATAAACACCCACATCTACATATGCATGCACACTCCACCACTGACCATAGGGAGACATGGCATGACACTGAGGATTGTGGAAAATGCTACCATTGTGGCTGTCCACACCGGGAGGAGTCGCAGACCGTGACCATTGGGGGTGCCGGCATCCAGACCAGACAAGAGAACCCCCACACCGGGTTGGGCTTAAAATCGATCCTGAAGCAGACAGGGAGCCAATGCAGTGACTTTCAAACAGGTGTAATGTGGGCCCAGCCCGCTGGTCCTCGTCAGCATGCAAACGGCTGAATTTTGCAGAAATTGGAGATTCAAAATACTCTTTTTGGGAAGACCAGAGAGCAGGGCATTACAATAATCTAAATGACAGGAGATAAAAACATGCATTAGCACCTCCGTGCTGGCCTGAGAGAGAAACGGGCGGACTCTGGCTATGTTCTTAAGATGATAAAAACCTATTTTCACTATATTTTTGTACTGGTTCAGAATCTTGTAGTTTTGCTAAGTTTCTCTCTCTGACCTTCACTACCTATAACTAAAACCTCAGTTTTGTTCAGGTTGAGCTGTAGGAAATTCACTGCAATCCATGACTTGATGTCTAAAATGCAGTTAAAAAGGGTGTCTGTTGGCCCTGTGTCATCAGGAGAAATGGTAATGTACAGCCGTGTATCATCAGCGTAGCTATGGAAACCGATGCCATGTCTCCTGATGACTCCCCAAGAGGAAGCATGTAAAGATTAAAAAGAATGGGACCTAAAATCGAGCTTTGGGGAGCCCCACATCTAATTTCATGGATCCCTGAGGAACGTGTATCTATACTTACATAAAAACATCGGTCTGTGAGGTAGGAGCTGAACCAGTTAAAAACAGTACCAGAGAGGCCGACCAGGTGTCTGAGTCTATTTAATAGAATGTGATGGTCTCCTATATAAAAAGCGGCGTTTAGATCCAGTTGAACCAATGCTGTACATTTCTTGTTATCCAGATTCCACCTGATGTCGTTTAAAATCTTTAAAAGTGCTGTCTCTGTGCTGCGGTTCATCCTAAAACCAGACTGATGTCTTTCTAAAATGTTATTTCTGATTTTAAAAATCATTCATTTGGTTAAAAAAAAACTTTTTTCCCCAAAAATGTTACTTAAAAAAGGTAAATTGGATACATGTCGATAGATATTAAAACCAATGGGGTCTAAATTGTTCTTCTTCAGAAGGGGCCTCACCACCACCATTTTAAAGTCGGTGGGGAAGACACTTGTTGAAAGAGAGCAATTCATAATGTTTAAAAACTGTTCCTCAAAGAATCCATGAAATGATTTTAAAAGTGATGTGGGAATTGGATCTAAAAGACAGGTTGTTGGGTTTACTTGGGAGAAAACTGGACCAAGTGTCCTTGCATCAACCAGGGCAAAACACTCGAGCATTTTGAAGCAAACTGGAAACAGATATAAGACCAGTATGTGGACTGCATCAAGGTTCTCAACTGGTCTAACCCTGGGACCCACATTTTCCCATGGTCACAAAGGCACAACCCACTTTTTTCAGAATTCAATATTCAATATATTTTCCTGTGCAACATGCATTTCAGAGCATATAACCATGCATAGTAACTGGACCATGACAACCGCATGTAAAAAACTGCACAAAATAAATAAGGGCACAAAACAACATATTTTCACTATATTACTATTCAGACGGGGGGGGTGCTGAGCATTCGGTCCGGCCGATGGTCACAGTGCTGCATTGGCAGCGGAGGCGGGAATATTCAGATATTCAGAAATCAAAATTGCTATCCCGATTCCAGAACAGCGCACAGTGATTTGGCTGTTCAAGTCGAGCCCTAGTACAAAAATCCACATTCTCAATACTCTGGATCATATTTGCACTTTGCCATCTTGCATGCCAACATCAACACAAACTTA